TTTTTTTTCAGTGGCCTCGATTTTAATAGCAGCTCCTCAACAGCCCATTTTTCAGTTATTAGGTTAATGTTTGTTTTGAACCCACAGTAGCATACACAATACTTTCAAATTCCTTTTCGTATTCTTACACATTATAATTTTATTTCTTTGCAGTGTGTTTAAGGCTGGTATCTATGTAACAATGATGTTTGAAGTGCTAAGAACTCTTCTAGTGGTAAAGATTATAAATTAATAACCTGATAGGTGTAAACCTGCGCAGAATGTTTACTGGATTTGGACATGATAGATAAAAGCATATCTGTCACCTATTGCATGTTCGCTATAACTAGGTTTCGTTGTATCGAGGTTCTTTTCCTTATATCAAGTTTACTATTAGTGGGGCCATCAAAATCGTTCGTTATACCTAGGACTTCGTTTTATAGAGGCTCGTTAAATCGAGATTTCATTGTAGTTATAAACTGGCGCAGAATGTTTGCGATATTTGCACTAGCATTAGGGAATGGAATGATGGGCTTTTTTAGATGACTATATTGTTCTTGTTAGTGGACACGATTCAATATTTGGTACATGCAAGCAAACAATTAATTTTAAAAAAGCGTTAAAACAAGAAAACAGGTATTAGCATGTCAGTACTGTATTCACCTAGGAATGTCTTTGTTCAGATTTGTGCTGTAATACGCTGAGTGTCCCTGCCCAAGCTGATGCAAATACTCCGGGGGGGTTTGGTTGAAAATTCGAAAGTTCCACAGTGAACGCGTACAAAGAGTGTTGCCAAATGCCGTAGAGAAAGTTGTCTTTAGGTACCATGTGGCGATGAATATTATTATTTAACAGTAAGCATATTTCATTCAGGTTTTCGCAGTCTTTTCTCTTCTTTTGTTTGCGTTTGCTTTGGTCTTCCATGCGCTGCTGTCAAGACAAGCAAACGTAAGTACTTTGTGGTTTTTTATGCTTTTAAGGTCAAATCTCACAGACCTGACAAAAGAAATATCTCAACTTTGTCACTGACTTTCCTCGGTCGTAATCCTCAGTTACTTTATCATTATTTTTTTTTTGGTTGAACTCTACCATTGCTTTAAGTTTTTTGTTTGTTGAGAACAGCTTCAAGTATTAATACACACTTTATCTGTTTCAAGTATCTGATAAGCAGTTTTTGGTGCACCCAATCTTGATCGTGCACTTGCTGCATGGGAGCAGATGTACAAAGGCAGACGTCCTATCTGCCTGGATGGGCCTCCAAGTGTAATATTTCTCAACAAAGGATAGTAAAATTGCATTTCCTTTAGAGTATAACGTATTACAGTGTCGTTACTCTTTTCAATTGCAGGCGTCAAGGGCCGGTATCAAGCTTGAACAGGACGGTGAGGTAGGACGAAAGGGAATTAGTTACATGCAAAATCTTTTCGCATCAAGAAAAGCGGGTCCATTTTGCTTACAAAAGGCTTTGTTTTACAGCCCAAAATCAACCTAATATGGCCATTTTTGAGTTTCCATTCTTTTTCGTCGGTAGTATGTGTCCATACTTACGCATTCCGACTTGGATGCGGCCCCACGAAGTCAGACAAATTTTGTCGCATTAGAGGTGATTTTTTGCATCGAGGATTAAATTATTGGCTTCCGTGGCTCGACTGGACCTTTCAAAATATCAGACGTGCCCCTCTCTACTCCCCAGAGGCTCCATGTTTTTTTTTAGGTGGGGAGGATCCGCTGAGTGATGTAAGTGCAGGCACAGGTACGAACGTTCGAACCTCTGCGGTGGAGAGAGAACGCGCTCTCCGTAGGTCGCTATAGGCCAAAGACAAATGTCGAACTTCTTGTGAGTAGAACTGTGTAAATGAGCAAAAACAATGCATTGATGTATCATTGCACAATTGCACCGATCGTACTTTTTTGATGCTCTTCGGTAGCATATCAGGTTCGTTTGTTCTCGTCATGGGTATTGTGTCTCGACTCTGATTCTGGTAATTTTATGTTCTTCTTCTCAGGACCCCTTTGGCACGCTAGATCTGTCGATATTGAAAGTGTTGGATATGATGATCGGCGAGCTGGAATACAGCACATTTTTTGTCGACAAGACGCTATATCTCCCTGATCTGACGAGATTTATTTTTGCCGTATTTTGTGCTTTGATACCGATAGTCTTCATGAATTTATTGGTTAGTAAGACTCTTTATCATTTTTATGCGTTGCAATTCATTATAATGAAATTAAAATGTAGTTAATACATTAGCCCCATATATCTCGAACTTGACGATTCCCTCCATTCTTTCCTCAATACTGCGATTGATACATGGGAACAAGCCTCGTAACGATTTGGGCCGGACGTACTTGTTGTTTAGCACAAAATTCTTGTTCTGGCATTAGATGTCGTGTGTGGTCCAACAGATCTTTCATGTTTATAAAAGAAGACATCCCGAGATCGATTACTATGAGTATCAATCACTTCCAGTGGAAAATGGAAAGAAGATTGGAGACAAATTAAAGTTTCTTCTTTGAGCCCTCTCGATTGAAATTTTGCGTATAATTTGATATAATTTTAGGCCTAGGATAACAGTGAGATTCTTTCCTTGAAAAAATAGTTTTCTTTTTAAACAGATTGGTTTGGCTGTGGGTGATATTGAATCGATTCAGAAAAATGCAGAATTGAAGCTGTTAGCGATAGAGGTATGAAAAGAAATTACTTTGTAACTGGAATTAAGTGTAGTAGCTGATCCTCTAGTCCAAAGCGAGCCCGTTCATTCCCAACCTTGTTCACATGGTCTTGCTGCATTTATTTGCGGGATATGCCCCTTGGTTTGGGTACCAAGTAAGTAAAACATCTTAGTCAGTTTTCAAATCGTTTGCTGACCCAAGAAAAATCATTAGCTTTTCTGATTTACCAACACTTGCCATGATCTGTACTCAGTTCTGCACACAGGTACAAAATCTCTTTTACTAGGAATATTGATTTATAAATAGTCCACGGGAAAATAATTTATATTTATTTTCTAGGGTCGATCCTGAGAAAGAACATTTTTTTTTAACTGAGTAACCCTGAAGTCTCCGAATAAAATACATCTCTATTTGTATTATTTTATTTATTATTTTGTTCTTTATCTTTATTTTAGATCGAGGATGTGTACTCCTTTGAACGACGCCTACCAAACTGTTTACTTCGCCGTATACACAAGTCACGCGTCACAAAGTATCCCAATAGACGGGGCTGGCGGCAGAAAGGAGTTATGGTAACGAAGTTACACCCCATCTTAACTTTCTTTCTGGAATTCAACCTAATGATGAAGATGTCGATACGATCAGACCCCCCAAGCATTTAGGGTGTGACTTAGGGAAGATAAAAAAGAAAAAATATGGAGACAGAGAGGAAAGGACAGCATGGTACCTTCGTCCATCATTTTGATCCTACTCCGCTATACATGCCTTTGAAGTGATCGATATGGTCGGTTTTTTTTACCCATTTTGTGTCAAAGTTGCCAGAATCATTAACAATTAGAATTAACAAATTAGTGGAAAATGTCTTTTCATCGTCTTTTCTTTTCCTTTTCTTAAGAATATTCGCAGATTAATAGCAGGAATGAAGGATAACTTGGCCTTTGAGCAGACAGATTGTGAAAGTTTTGAGCAAGCGGCTGCATCTGTCTGCCACAGAATGGATGCCTTGGAGCAAAAGTGAGATTCCTGCTATGATTTAGTGCATGTTTTTACCTCAATGGCATTAGAGAATTACTTAGTATGTAGTTTACATAACATTCTTATGCGGTTAACCATTATCCAGAATAAGTGACGTTCTAGTTGGAATTCGAAAAATAGCCCAAAGATTAGCATTATCTCCTTGACTTCCTTCTGATTTATAAATCAAAGAGGAAGTCAGAAAGAGCATCAGTTTATTTTTATTTTTTTTGGTGTTTTAGGGTGGACAAACTAAGTGCTACCATTGAAAACCAGACAGAGATGTTGGAAAAAGTTTGCAAGTTTCTCGCAGCTAAAGAGACTATTGACATCCCACCGAGTCACCCCGCAACACTTGACGTCAAGCTGTGAGAAGAAACTGCAGATAGCTATGCGACTCATTAAGTTCCGCTACACGAGCCAGTGTCCGAGGAATAAATTTGGAGTTCTCGAGATGATAGCTGAAGTACCGCACAACAAATGCCCCTACCTTTGAATCAATATGCCGTTGTCTCCACAGCTAAGACTTAGCATCAATCTGTGACCAGGTTCAACAAGGTTACCCACTAAGTGAAAATGAAACAAGATAAATGTGCTACAAGCTCACAGTGGAAACTTAGGGAGTGTCTAACACTTTCTTTCCACATTTTTTATTCCTGAGAAACTTTAATAATAAAATTTGGAAGCAAGTCGGAAATCTAATATTTTTGCAATTTATTTTTGCCTGGTAATAATAATACTTATCGGTCTCCTTGCTACGCACCATGGCTATACAGAGAGACTTTTCAATGAAGCTACAAATTTGTAATTTATTAAGAGAAAAGTGTCGAGGAATATTGGGTAGATATTCCTGTAAGTGCAAGTTTATACTGAAATCGATATAAAGGAAAGCCCCATATCCCATTAAAAGTACATTTATGTCTTCTTCCCTTGTTTCCAAAATTATAACTATGAAGCTGTACCTATGTCAATTTTTTTATCGGCGATTTTCAGCTATCAGCCTTGCCGATCACAGATCCCGGTTATCAGGTAAAAAGCGCGTCATTTCCCAGTCGACAGTTCAATCTCAGCTGTCGGTTAAACCCCATTCAAACCTTTTTTCTGTCAGCCGTCACAGAAACACGAATAGCTTGAGGTCTTGGAGAACGGCGAAAAAAGCGGCGACAACGCTCGCGTATGATTGTACTCTCCTCAATTTATTTTTCCTTCTTTGAGACTTGGGCGTGTCATTCCAAGTCAACGAGAACGGAACATGATTTAATAATGTTTAATTTCAGAGGTGGTTTGTTATTTCCGCTCTTTGTTTGGAAACCGTTAATGCAATATCGTCGTCCTCCAAGAAAGGACTTTTATGACATATTCATACAACGGTTCACTTATACAGAATCAGATAATATGCGTATACTATGTTATTGTCTTGAGAAGAATTTCAAGTCGTTTATAACGAGCATATCATAAGACCTTTTACTCAAGTTTATGAACCGATCTTCCTCTTTTATTTCAAATCAAACAAGCTCTTTAGATAATGACGAAGTATAAATTGTTATGACTCTTTACATCGCCCACATACAAATAGATCGATTTGTTTTGGAACGCCATAAAGGAAGATTTTGAACCAAGACCGTTGGTCAGATGTTAACTGAAAAATATGTCTACTCAACAAGAAACAGCTTATTCTGTGCAAAGTTATAAAACAGCAAATAATCGGGAAATTTATTGACCCTTGGCCGGTGCATATCAACTGGCCTATACAGTCGAAGCTCTCGTAAGCGGACACCCTCGGGACGCGAAAAAAGTGTCCGTAACTGGAGCTGGCCGCTCACGAGAATGCTTCTCGTCAGCGGCCACTAGAGGTGTTGGGGATAATGGCCGCTTTAGGGATCTTATGCATGTAAGTGTTGTTTCGAAATGTAACCGGATGTCGATGGATGACGACAAAACAAACACTGAAATATGGTACTGTAATTACTGTAAAATCATTGTGACGAACGGTGATATGAAGTTCATTGATAAAAACAAGATACAGAGGTTGTTAATAGGATTTTCCTCGGGTTGTCCGCTTACGGGAGCTTAAAAAAAAAAAAGAAAAAGTCTAAGTCGCAATCTCTGAAAGTGTCCCCGGCCGCTTACGGAAATGTCCGCTTACGAGAATGTAAAAATACAGAGTTTGTATTGGAGTTAAAACGAGGTTTCAAACAAGGCGGCAGTAAGTAGAGCTGTCCGCTTACGAGAGTGTCCGTTAAGAGAGCTTTCACTGTACTTGCAATGTACCGGCGGCCAAGAGAGCCAATCAGAATATTAAAGTTTCCTTGATCATGGGGGAATCGAGTGGAAGTACTTTAAGGGAGACATCCTAGTTTTGACGGATGTCTCCATCATCAGCAATACTCGCTGGGCGGTCGTGTGAGGTTTCGGATAGATAATGTGTGGAAAATATTCCACATTATAATTCCATACAAATACTGTCGCACTTGGATTTAAGTAAACACGATACTATACTTACTACGCACAGAAAAACTCCCTTGAATCCTGGAAATTATAGAAAAAATTGTCGCTGGACAAACGGAGAGATATGTAAGAAAAATATGATAGAAACAGCATAAAGCATGTAAAGCATAAAAATAAAGTAATGTTTATTCCACTCGACTTTACGGGCCTTTCTGGTTAAAATAATTAACAACGAAAATTTTTGTTTGGTGTTCGAGAATAAAACTACACCAACTAAAAAATTACTAGGAGGTGTTGGATATAGAAAATATGACGCTTCTCTTTGTAAAATCTTTTTCCTCTTGAGTCACTGCTAAACTAACTGTGAGCTCGACGGACTGGTTGCAAGACTGTTTCAGTTTTACTGTAAATTTGCCCTTGATTTATTCAGGATTCGTTGACATCTATCGTACATGTTCCACTATAATGACCGCAGACGATCTTCCTCAATCGTTCTTACTGTTAGTCACCTGTGTCGTATATCATGAGAAAATGGTTTTCAATTAATCATGTGTCGGTCAGTCTTCTTTCAAAGCGTGGAAACGTTTCCAAATACCGTGAGTCCGACCCACGGTTAAAACCAATAACAATAAAACCTTAATAGCTCTTAAGTTGATAATTAATTCTTCCCTACCATGCTACCCAACCTCTACTTATTTCACTGTTTAATGTGTTTTATGATAAAAAAGAGTATACTATACCCAGCACCAAGATGCAGAGCAATACCTCTGTCTAGTTCTAAATATGTTGTCAAATGAATTCCATTTATGCATTCCAATTAGTTTTTCAATTTCGATTTCAACGTGATCTGGCTACAGATTTCTTAAATCCGAATAAATTATGCTGTTCATTCTGCAGCTGAAAAACGTTGGAATCAACTGAATAAACATTTTAATATCTTCTAGAATCAGGCACGTGTTTACGTCATGCATGTTTTTTCAAGAGTGTTGTGAGAGCTCTCAGCTGCCTTCATAGCGATTCATTTGAGTTACTGATAACATTTGTCTACGCAAATGCCATTTTCCTTCACGTCCGATTCTCAGTTAACACATTGTAATTAACTACTGACGAACTGGGTCACAAAAATTGAGAGTCAAACTTCTCTAGTAGTTATTATTAAATCCATTTATCGTTGATCCCACAGTTGAAGTTGGTAATTGTTTCAAGATACAAGTTCCTGTTAGAGAAATGATTAACGGTAGATGGGAACAACTATGAGCTTTGTGGTTTAGAGGCTTCAGGTGAAAGCAAACATTAATCAGCTGCATAACAATCGGATTCTAGCTTGATGTTCTAACAAAATGTTTCATAACTCTCCAAACAAACGTCTTCTTAATAAAGAGATTATTTGCTCCCGATTTCTATCGCATGATAGTGGGCGTAGTCCGGTCCGAGTTCACTATCACGGATAGATATCGGGAGCGGATAATCGAATTGTTTCAGTATAAATTCACTTACTAGTCCTTCAAAACTTACATAATAAAACTCAAACACGCAGCTGCCATTATGTTAACAACTGCACACTGCTAGGCTCCTGACTGTCAACAACAGAATAGATCGTGAGTAGTGTATGACCAGAATGAGAACGCCATGCGTGATAGAACCCGAGATAGAACGTTGAGAGATTCAGTCACACTAACATTGATTACGTGCCGCCCGATATATTGCCTTGTTTTACAGCGCCACTCACGCACTCGTTCACGTTTACTACGGATACAAATTTGTGCCGCTTTCCATTTGATAAAAATTTCTGATTTGAAATTCCGAAAATTTCGCGTGCGAATGGAACACAAATCTCTGGAAAAGAGGAAAACCTCAAGAGGTATACCCAAATTATCTTAACAGGAATTTCCATTCCATTTGCCAGTTTTCCTCTCGGAATTTCCGGAATTTTCGGTTGAATAGTTCGCATTTCAGAAATTCAACAATTATCGGATTTTCCGGAAGTTTTTCCAGGAAATTTTTCGTACCATTTGCTACCGTTTCGAAACATCCCGAATTTTTGGTTGAATGGAAAGCGACTTAAATTTTGTTTCAGCGAATTTTTCAAGAACAAATCAGAATCTCCCACATAAGCCACCACAACTGCCTTACATTCTGCACTAAAAATCACTCATAATTACCCTAATTGTGTCAGTTGTGAGTTGAATATTAAATTGTATGCTTGCATATAGTTCCAGAAATCGAAACGTTGTATCCTAAACTGAAACATGCACATTATTTGCTCACAAATAAAATTTTATGCGACAATTGAACCATGTATTTACATAATGATTTTANGGCTGCCAGGCACGTGAAAGTATGGTCGCTAAATGCGGACTTTGTTCTTTAATGAACCTCACCAGTTGACTAGATTTACTTAAAAGGCCCACTTAAACAATATTTGGCAGAGAACATTTCACTACAATGATCTAATTGCAATATTATTGGGCTTACAAACACTGTGGCCTTATTCGCTAACAAAGCCCGATTTTTTTAGATTTAGGGTGTTCTTCCAGGCATGTCTTCTGCAAAACGAAATCGGTGACCCCCCCTTTTTTTTACCTTTCTGCGTGGCAAGTGTAAAAAAAAATCTGTATGTGGGAACATTTTGGGCGCCAACGTCCTTAAGTTTCGCTTTATAGTGCAATGGAAACTGGAAATTGTTGCTAGCTCGTACTCTTCTCGAGCTCCATTTTTCCTGCGTGGGTTCAGAAAAAATTTGGACAAAAGGTGGTCAAACTCCAAAGCAGGTAGGCTTTCAATTCTTTCATTTGCCATACCGTTAGCTTTCACGTCGTTAGCGGAGAAGAGTGTTCATATCGGTAGCCGTCTTCTTATTTGTGTTTGCACTTTTCCGTTTGTTCATATAAAAATCGGTCTATGGCCTCCTGACTTTCGCTGACGCCTGTCTACATCAGACGTTTCCAGATCTTCAGGATAATAAAATTCGCTTGATAAATATTCGTCATCCTCGTCCTTGTTGTTAGTAAGCTCTGTAAAATATCAGTCTTTTAGGTAGTTTCTTTGCGAAGAATGAGAGTATTTACACGTTTCCTTTTCGTAGTTTTAGTTGCAAATTTTGAATTTGCCAGCTTTCGAAAACAAACAAAAAATACACCGTATGGCGAAATCCCGAACATACTGTTGGGGTTAAAAGAATGGTAAAAGAAAGCGTATTTATACAACAGTGACGGCAATCCGCTGTAACTTTCTGGTTGTTCCATATGG